AGTGATGCTTCGAATACCAGTTGTTGGAAACCACTAGCCTGATCCGGCTTCAGGGCTCTTCTGATGTACTTACATGCTTTCAAAATTTCTAAATACAAAGCAACTGCTACAGTTTCATGAGCTGTAACCACTGGACCTTTTCTGCAGGTGGATCTTGGACATTTATATGGAGACAACTTGGAACGCAACATGAACTGAGGCTCTTCCGAGACGGGAAGTTGAAATACCAGGTATGAAAGTGGTTAAATGGTCCTCCTGCCTTGGGAGAGCAAAATGATGACCCTAGACAGCTGCTGCCGATCAAATAGTCAATACTGGGCTAGATGGGCAAACAGTCTGGCCTGCTCATCATTCCAGGTGGGGTACTCTGTCCGATGCCACAGGAGGCAAATCTGTGTTTTATTTGTCTGGTTTTAGAATGTCTCTAATCCCCTTCAGAATAAATATTTCCTGGGCAGGTTATGAAGCATGCAGATGGGGTGATGGGACCAAGAGAAGGGCAGGTTGTATGGGAGGACATGATATTTCAGATAGCTTGGCCTGCGAGGTGTTTGAGATGCACCCCTGACGAGCACCCTTCCTCTCTCACCTCGCCTAGGGTGGTGAAAGGGGAAATTTATTATCCCCGACGGTACTGGACGCCCCCGTGCACATGATCTACCCAAAGCACATCCCCGCAGAAAAGCAGCTGGCTGTGGGCCAGGAGGTGTTTGGGCTGCTCCCGGGACTCATGATGTACGCCACCATTTGGCTCCGCGAGCACAACCGCGTCTGTGACCTTCTCAAGCAGATTCACCCCACCTGGGATGATGAGCAGCTGTTCCAGACCGCAAGGCTCATTCTTATTGGTGTGTGAGGGGGGAGGGCTGTGGGGGAGGGCCACAGGACAGTGGGGTGTTCCAACCAAGTGCCATGCCAACATTCTTCCAGTGTTATTTCCTCCACACACACACACACACACTCATCCATTCTCCATCAATTAATGAGGAAACAATTTGCATTTGAAAATTATAGACTTGTAAAATGGTAGCATTGGAAAGATATTCCACACCCACACCCACACCCATATCATATCGTCCAACCCCCTGCAATTCAGGAATCTCAGCTAAAGAATCCCTGACAGAGGGCCACCCAACCTCTGTTGAAAAACCTCCAGTGGAGGTCCACCACCAAAAGGAACAAGAGAGACGAAATCTGTGAAGCTGACTGTTTTACCACAGTATTTTAAAAAGCACATAAAGCATCAGATTTCCTGGATTCTTGACCTGTTTGGACAGATAAGAAGCTGGTACAGCTCCAAAGTCCAGCATGATAATACCATCTTGCAGATCGATGTTTGTATGTTAAAAACTTTGTTATGGAATGGACCACCAAGCCCTTATTATCTTCAGGCTTAGGTGGATTGGCAAGGTGAGATGTTGCGGCTTTTTAGTTTAAGAGAAGGTGAGTGACATAATAGAAGTATACAATGTTAGGCCTAGCATGGAGAAAGTGGAGAGAGAAAAAGTCTCTCCCCCCCCCAAACTATAATAATAATTATATATTTATTCATACCCTGCCCTTTGGCCTTCAGAATGCATAGCACTAGAACTCAGAACATCCAGTGAAGCTGAGTGTTGGAAGATTCAGTCCTTCTTCATGCACCATATAGTTAAACTATGGAACCACAGGAGGCAGTGATAGCCACCAACCTAGATCGGTTTTAAAAAGGGATAGATAAATTCATGGAGGAGACGGCTGTCAATCGCTTCTAGCTATGATGGTTGTGCTCTGCTTCTGCAGTTAGGAGCAGCAGTGCTCCTGAAAACAGAAAGCTGGAAACCACAGGAAGGAAGAAGGCTCCTGTGCTGGAATCCTGTTTGCTGGATTCCCATTGGGCATCTGGTGGCCACTGAAGGACAGGGATGCTGGGCTAGATGGGGCCCCCTTTGGCCTGATCCAATGGCCTCCTCCTATTTCTTAGATCCCAAACTCAGTTGCCTGCATCCTCACCCCTTGACTCCCTCCCTCTGCTCTTCCCAGGTGAGACCATCAAAGATCGTCATTGAGGGACTATGTCCAGCATCTGAGTGGCTACTTCCTACAGCTGAAGTTCGACCCAGAACTCCTCTTTGGAGTTCAGTTCCAGTACCGGAACCGCATTGCCAGTGGAATTCAACCAGCTCTACCACTGGCATCCACTGATGCCAGATACCTTCAAGATCCAGGATCAAGAGTACAGCTACAACCAGTTGTCTACAACACCACTATGCTGATGGACTATGGAGTGGAGGCCCTTGTAGATGCCTTCTCCAGGCAGCAAGCTGGGCAGGTGGGTGCATTGGCCACACCCATCCCAAAGGGCCAAGCCAATCTTGAGGAGCAGGATGGTTTTTGGTCCACCAGGATGGGAAAGCGAGCGAACGCTAGGGGAACTGACATACCTCAAGTAGCTGTACCATGCCAGCTGGAAACTGTCAGCTTTTAGTTCTATAGATCAGTGGTTCCCCAGCTTTTCTGGGGCCACTGCCCCCTGGTTTTGCAAACTTGCCCCCAGTGTCCCCCTACCCTATAAAAAGGATTATTCAGTAATAGCGGTTTACATGACCCACGGTGGAAGATACCAACACAATAAAATTCAAAAACGGTGACAATTAAGCACACATTTGTTGAAAATCGAATTAAAACTATTTAGTGTAATTAAGTCAAACAGAACTGATGAACTTGATCCAGTGATATCAGCTTAGCAAGAGACTTAGATACCACCTTTAGTAACTATTTCACTGTTCAGTAAATTCTTAATGTGACAGATGGGCTTGATGAAGTGAAATCAGTTTCCCAATACCTGGTTTAAAATCGCTTTGCAGGAACCATTCATACACACACACACAGTGCTTTTTTCTGGGGGACGCAGGGGTACGCTTTGTGAATCTAAGTTTGGCCTCATTGAGGGGCAGTATTTCAATATGAGTAGGAAAAAGAGGAACCCTAAACATTTTTTAAAAGGAAAAAAGCACTGTACACACACACTTCACCTACCACAGATTCATGGTCACTAACTTATCAGAAAATAAATAGCTGTTGCCAATAATTAGCTAAACAAACATGAACAAAGGACACAGATTGACAATGAGAGGAGCAGTAAAACTTTAAATATAAAGTGAGGAAGTGTTTTGCTTTAGGAAGGTGTAAACAGGCCAATGGTAACTGTACACTCGGCACGCTCAGAGGCACCCACCTCCAGCACACCCTTGCCTCTTAGCACCCCACTAGGTAATCCTCCCCCAGGGGGTGATAGCACCCACTTGGGAACCACTGTTGCAGAGAGTCTGGATAAGAGTTTGAACAGTGCATTTGCTGTTGTCTGTCTTTGTTTTTTTTTGCAGTGCTGATTTGTGGCCTCTTTCTTCCCCTCCCTCCCATAAAAGGCTGTTTTCATATAAATGCCTGGCCAGCATGGCTGAGGATTTTAAGGGTTACTGCTCCTTCAAAGTTTTCCTGCTCACAGGCTATTTTATTGCTTCCTGTTCAGTGCAGCTGAGGGATTTGTGATCAGCTGCACCTTAAGAGAAGGAAAATTATAGCTCCATAAAGAAAGAAGAGGGGAGAAGTAAACAATGAAGGGTAATTAAAGCCACTAATGGCGAACAGGAACTGACTAATCAAGGGGCAATTCACCACAAATCCCCCAGCCTTGTGGACTAGAAAGGAAGGACATAGCAAAGCCTGCAATGAAAGAACTTCTTAACATTGCAGGGGACCCTTAACTGAAGGAGACTTACATGTGAGTAGACATTATATGGTCCCAGGGAGAGAATCATAGAATCATAGAGTTGGAATAGACCACAAGGGCCATCGAGTCCAACCCCCTGCCAAGCAGGAAACACCATCAGAGCACTCCTGACATATGGTTGTCAAGCCTCTGCTTAAAGACCTCCAAAGAAGGAGACTCCACCACACTCCTTGGCAGCAAATTCCACTGTCGAACAGCTCTCACTGTCAGGAAGTTCTTCCTAATGTTTAGGTGGAATCTTCTTTCTTGTAGTTTGGATCCATTGCTCCGTGTCCGCTTCTCTGGAGCAGCAGAAAACAACCTTTCTCCCTCCTCTATGTGACATCCTTTTATATATTTGAACATGGCTATCATATCACCCCTTAACCTCCTCTTCTCCAGGCTAAACATGCCCAGCTCCCTTAGCCGTTCCTCATAAGGCATCGTTTCCAGGCCTTTGACCATTTTGGTTGCCCTCCTCTGGACACGTTCCAGTTTGTCAGTGTCCTTCTTGAACTGTGGTGCCCAGAACTGGACACAGTACTCCAGGTGAGGTCTGACCAGAGCAGAATACAGTGGCACTATTACTTCCCTTGATCTAGATGCTATACTCCTATTGATGCAGCCCAGAATTGCATTGGCTTTTTTAGCTGCCGCATCACACTGTTGGCTCATGTCAAGTTTGTGGTCAACCAAGACTCCTAGATCCTTTTCACATGTACTGCTCTCAAGCCAGAGACTTAATGGGACCACAGTGCTATATTAAGTGCTGCCCCAAACCACCATTTTAATTACCGTACCCTTCCTGCTGACTGTAGAAAAGCAGAGTCTCAGTCCTTCAGCTGTGGAAGCAACTTTGGTGTCAGAAGTGGGATTTGGATTTTGACCCCTGCCCTCCCAACGGATGGTCTGCAGGCTAGATCTGACCCCCAACCATCCCAACAAATTACTTACGATTACATGCAAACGGGAATTTCTCAAGGGTGGGTGGGAAATCTAGGTGGCTTGGCCCCTCCCCTCCTGCTAACCAAGCCTCTCCATTGGCTTTTCAGATTGGTGGGGTACCGAACATCCACAAGCAGCTTCTTAAAGTGGCCATTGGAGTCATTGAGGAGTCAAGGCTGCTGCGCCTCCAGTCCTTCAACGAATACCGGAAGAGGTTTGGCATGAAGCCCTACACCTCCTTCCAGGAGCTGACAGGTAGGGCAGGCAACCTGCCGGAATGAGGGGAGGGGGCTCCCAGAGGGGTCACCATGTGGGGCACTTTAGATGCCACCCCCACCCTGCAAAGGCCATTGTGTTTCCCTGTGAGGAAAAGGCTAAAAAGTGTGTGTGTGTGTGTGTGTGTGTGTGTGTGTGTGTGTTTGTGTGTGTGTTTTAATTTAGGGAGGGGGAGTGGTAGAGGGGGAAGGGAGATGTTGGTTTCTGAAAGAGTATGCATGGAGTAGAGCCTGTTTTTCCTAGAGTGCTTGAATTCAGTGTTGTCCACTGAAATGGACACATAGAAGATTCAGAACTGTTTATTAATTATTATATTTGAATGTATCACTCACCTTTCACCCTGAGGTCCCAGACATCCCCACCCCGCAGCATACAGAACTCACTGCCACAAGATGCATCACTGCAGGGATGACGACTTAGCCTTAGAGGCTCACTCCAGTGAGGGGGAGGAGCCAGGGTAGTTAAGCGGAAAGTTCATATTCAGATGCAGTCGACCCCTGAAGCTGAGGGGCAGGGATGGGGGATAAGGTGGAAGAGGGAAATTGTCTGTTGTGAAAATAACATTGGGAGGAAGAGAGCCTTTGTGTCTTCTTGAGCTCCTTGAAGGAAAATGAGATATAATATTTGAAATACCGTGGTACCTCTGGTTGCGAACGGGATCCGTTCTGGAGCCACGTTCGCAACCTGAAAGGAACACAACCCTCATCTGCGCATGCGCGGGTTGCGATTCGCTGCTTCTGCGCATGCGCATAATGTTATTTTGCGCGTCTGCACAAGTGGCAAAACCCGGAAGTAACCCTTTCCGGTACTTCCGGGTCGCGGCAGGACGCAACCTGAAAAAACGTATCATGAAGCAAACGTAACAAGAGGTATAACTGTAAATGAAATACAGAATCACAGCCCACTTTTGAGCAGAAGAGGAGCCCCGCTGGATCAGGCCCATGGCCCATTTAGCCCAGCATCTCATTCTCACAGTGGTCAACCAGATTCTCCAATGGGAAACCCATAAGCAGAACCAAGCACAAGAGCAACTCTTCCTTCCCGTTTTGTTGTTTAGTCGTTTAGTCGTGTCCGCCTCTCCGTGACCCCCTGGACCAGAGCACGCCAGGCACTCCTGTCTTCCACTGCCTCCCACAGTTTGGTCAAACTCATGCTGGTAGCTTCGAGAACACTGTCCCACCATCTCGTCCTCTGTCGCCCCCTTCTCCTTGTGCCCTCCATCTTTCCCAACATCAGGGTCTTTTCCAGGGAGTCTTCTCTTCTCATGAGGTGGCCAAAGTATTGGAGCCTCAGCTTCCCTTCCATAGTTTCCAGCAATTGAGATTTGGAAGCATTTCTGCCTCCCAACTGTGGAGGAAGAGCCGAGCAATCAAGGCTGGGAGCCATTCATTGGACAAGTTCATGGAGGAGGCCAAGGCAATCCTCTTTCAAAGCCACCCATGGTGGTGGTTGCTACTTCCTCTTGCAGGAAGGAGTCCCATAGATTAACTGTGTGCTGTGTGAAGGAGGACCTTTGTCTGCCCTAAATCTTCCATATTCAGTTCTTCCTCTCTCTCCCTCTCTCAGGTGAAGAAGAAACTGCTGCCAAACTGGAGGCCCTGTACAGAGACATTGACGCCCTTGAGTTCTACCCAGGTCTGCTGGTGGAGAAGAGCCAGCACAACTCAATTTTCGGCGAGAGCATGGTGGAGATCGGGGCCCCATTCTCCTTGAAGGGTCTTTTTGGGAACCCCATTTGCTCCCCAGAGTACTGGAAGCCTAGCACCTTTGGTGGTGATGCTGGCTTCCAGCTGGTGAACACAGCCTCACTCCAGAAACTGGTGTGCCTCAATGTCAAGAGGTGTCCCTATGTGGCCTTCCGGGTTCCCGGCGGTGGAGAGGATGCCGTTGTGCTTGCAAAGGAGAAGGGGCCATTGGATGAGCTCTAGGACCGCAGCGGGGGCAGAGGGCAGGGGCTGCTCCTTGGCTTGGCTGTCGTCCAGCCAGTGGCAGGCGGCAAGGAGTGGTGGTAGACTATGGCTGGCTGGTGGGGAGGAATGGAGAGAACGGAACAGCATCCCTGCTCATCACATACCTGGAAATGTATTGTGGAGGGTTAGGTTCAGAGAGGAGAATTAAAAGTACAGTTTACTGGGAGAAATGAAAAGCCTTTTGTGGTCTGCCTGTCCTCTGCCCAGTCGGCTTCCTCTTTCCTTCCCATCTTCTCCTTCCAAGGTCATTTTGGCCCATCACACGCAGCAGTAAAACACGTATTACAGGGACATTGTTGGGTGCCAAGACCTTTCGCCTTATGACACATAGCCCAAATCACCTGCTCCTCCTGCTTTCAACTTTGATTTTTATTTTCTTTACTTTGCTTTCTATGAGGGCTGGGCACTGTTGGGGAGCTCCTCAGCCACCTGTCCTGTTAATGTCCCAGTTGTCTAGGCATAAAAACCAGCACAACACATTATATGCAGATTTATGTCTGCTTCATCATATGCCATGGGTTCCAATTGTATCTTTCACCCCCTGGAGCCAGTTCCCAAACATGATTCCCTAAAATCTCTAGAGGAAAATATAGAATTGCAGAACCATGAAGTCGTAAGGGACTCCAAAGGTCATGTCGTCCCTTGCAATGCAGGAACATCAGTAAAGCATGCAAGACAGAAGGCCATCCACCCTCTGCTTCAAAATCTCCAAGGAAGGAAAGTCCACAACCTCTCGTGGGAGACCATTCCACTGTCAAACAGCTCTTCCTCTCAGAAAGTTCTTCCTGATGTTTAGTCGGAATCTCCTTTCTTGTAACTTGAAGCCATGGGTTCGAGTCCTACCCTCCATAGCAGGAGAAAACAAATTTGCTCCCTCTTCTGTGTGACAGCCCTTAAGGTATTTGAAGATGGCTATCGTATCTTTTCTCACTCTCCTCTTCTCTAGGCTAAACATACCCAGCTCCTTCAACCGTTCCTCATAAGGCTTGGCTTCCAGACACACTTGATCACATCTTTCGCCCTCCTCTGCACACCTTCCAGCTTGTCAATACAATTGCAGAACCAGTTCAATCTCTTTTAAACCTGTGGTGTATACATGCCTTAGAATAATAGGTTTGGGAAATTTTTGTGGGAGATATAAAGTGTTTTCCTTTTGACCTCCACTCAGGTGAGTGTGTGAGAGTGTGTGTTTCTGCTATGGGGCGGAGAGGGTGTTAGGAGTGCAGGGAATGGTCAGAATAAATAGTGATTTCATTTCCAAAAGTCACAAATGTGCTTCCTTTCTTTAGGGTGGGAGACTATTTATCATACCATCAACTGGCAAACGTGGTCGATGCTGGGGGCACAGATGTGGTTGGTGGGCCCTTGAGGACAAGATCCAGCCAATCATTCTCCTGAAAGTGCTAAGATCTCTAGTCCAGGAGTGGGGAGACTCTTTCAGACCAAGGGCCACATTCCTCCCCAGGAAATCTTTCAGGGGCTACTTGCCAGTCGCGGAGGGTTACAGAGGCCCAAAGTGGGTGCTTTGGCAATAAGCTACATTCTGGCCACACAAACAGCAGAAGCTTCTACATGCACACAAACATGCTTCACTCACCCAAACCAGCAAGAGGGGTCATCACAATCCCAGAACACTATCTTGCTCAGGGAAGCCCAACTTTTCATACCCCATGGAGAAGAAGAGTGCACAGACACACTGCTTTGTCATGCCGGGGGGGGGGGAGTGATGCCAGAATTTGAGCCCCTGCCCCACAGCCCGCGCACTGCCTTCCCAAAGCAAGCTCAGTGAGGTACCAGGCTTTGGGAAGGAGGTACCAGGCTCTGGCAGAGCCCTAGAGCCCTAACAAGGCTTTAGTTAAGCTTCCCCCCAACTTACATTGGGAAGGCAGTGCAATGGGTGGGGGGGTTCAAATGTTGCCAAGGGCCTCAGAGAAGGCCTCAAGGGCCACATTGGGCTATGCATAGCACCAGGGGCAGAGGAAGGGAGGCGGTGGAGGCGGCCCACCATGGGTGTCATCACTGAGGGGGTGACATTCGGCATACTGCCCGCAACTCCCAAGCCTACCCCAAGCCGTTGGGGGGAGGGGCGGAGCTGTGCCGCCTTCCCCCTTCCCCCTTCATTTTGACAGCTCAGGGGAGGCTTGGGAGTCGTGGCCGGCCGGCTCAACATTGCCCCATGCTCATGGTTGGCTTATGGTTTTTTGGCACATTTCCACTCCAGTTCTCTGTCCCACAGGGCAGGAGGGGTGAGCAGTGAGCTGATTGTGAGAGTTTCAAAGTGCAGGTACGACCCACTGAAAACATTTTGGGCTATGATTTGGAGAAATCCAAATGCCATCACCAGCTTACACTAAAAGTTCAACTGTGAAAACGCTCTCCTATGGAAGGCACCAGTTGGTCAGTGCCTGTGGAGTCGCAAACTACCACACTCTTGTGCTACTCCAGTGTGTTTCAACAAGGCTTCAGCAGGAGATTGTGGCAGACTGTGGCCCGTGGGTCAGATTTCTCTCCCTTTTGCTCCCAAGTCTGCTGGGGAAGGCTTACCCTCTGCTGAAAGAGCCAGTTGGTCCCATGGCAACACATCCATGCATGGTCAACTCTTTAGACATGTGAGGTAAAGGGTAAAGGGATCCCTGACCATTAAGACCAATCACGGACGACTCTGGGGTTGCGGTGCTCTTCTCACTTTATTGGCCGAGGGTGCCGGCGTACAGCTTCCGGATCATGTGGCCAGCATGACTAAGCCACTTCTGGCGAACCAGAGCAAAACACGGAAACGCCGTTTACCTTCCCGATGGAGCGGTACCTATTTAACTATTTGCCCTTTGACGTGCTTTCGAACTGCTAGGTTGGCAGGAGCAAGGACCGAGCAACAGGAGCTCACCCCGTCGCGGGGATTTGAACCGCCGACCTTCTGATCGGCAAGTCCTAGGCTCTGTGGTTTAACCCACAGCGCCACCCGCATCCCTCTTAGACATGTGAACAGGGTGCTTAATAGGCCTGGCTCACTAGCAAACTCTGAGATGGTGGCAGCCTGGTTGCCTGTTTTTCTTTTGCAGCCATCGCAAGTGGGGGGGGCACAGGGGGAATATCTAATAAATTTTAAAGCTTTCCCAGAAGAGATGATGAGGCCACCCTTGGGAGTATAATGCAGGGAGGTGGCGCCCCCAAGTAAAACCTAATCTCCCTGTGTTTATTTTTAATTGGCCATGAAAAACAAAGCAGAGGTGTCAACCAGTAGAGAATGGGAAACTTATATTGCTATCATTGTTTATGAATTAGTAAAACCGGGCAGCTGGTACAGGTAGCTGATATTGTCTTACAGCAGGTTTTGCAAGTCAAAGTATGAGTCAAAATGAAATGGCCAGCTCAGAAAAGGAGGGGGGGTGGTGGAAGAGATATTTTAGCTCTGCACGAAGGTCTTCAAGCTGCTGGTGCTGCCACCCCAGATTAAAGTATCGACTGGGCGTAGCTTTATCAGAATAACATTTTCTGAGTTAGCATTGGAACCTTCCCCAACCTGGTGCCCTCCAGGTGTTGTGGACTACAACCGCGACATCAGTCCCTGTGATTGGCCTCAATGGCTGGGCCTGATGGAAGTTGTAGAAGACATCTAGATGGCACTTGATTGGTAAAGGGTTCACCTAACCTCCTGCTGTAGCAGGTTAATATATCATTCTGCTATAGCAGCAATATAAGGATCTAGGGGTCTTGGTAGACCACAAGCTTAACATGAGTCCAGACTGTGATGCAGCAGCAAAAAACGCTGATGCTATTCTGTGCTGCATCAACAGAAGTCTAGGGTCCAAATCATGGAAAGTAATAGCACCACTCTCTTCTGCCTTGGTCAGGCCATACCTGGAGTCCTGTGTCCAGTTCTGGGCGCCACAGTTTAAGAAGGATGTTCACAAGCTGGAAGGTGTGTGGAGGACGCCAACCAGGGTGATTAAGGGTCTGGAAACCAAGCCTTGTGAGGAAAGGTTGAGGGAGTTGAGGATGTTTAGCCTGGAGAAGACAAGACTGATAGGAGAGACAATAGCCATCTTCAAATACCTGAAGGGCTGTCAGATGGAAGATAGTAATATCCAAGACAACACGATGACCAAATACAATGATACGATATCAATAGACACTCTTTATATAATATGAAATATATGAAATCACATAAACAGAAAACTTATGAATCTCTGAAAGTCACAAAATATGCACTCTTAATGGATTCTCTTGAAAACATAAAACCAAATAAACATAAGTCTTATAAGTCTCTGAAAGTCTTTGAAGACTATGCAAGTCTCTGAAAGAAGCAATGTATCAGATTCCACCTAGCCCAGCACCCTGTTCTCACAGTGGACCACCAGATGCCCCTGAGGGGAAACCTGCAATCGGGCCCTGAGCACAAGAGCAACACTCTTCCCTCCTGCGGACACCTCCCAGCCGCTGGCATTCAGAAGCATTTATTGCCTTTGACCATGGAAGCAAAGCAGAGCCATTGTGGATAGCAGCCATTGATAACCTTCTCTTCCATGAATTTTGGTGGCCATCCCTGCCTCCTCCTGTGGTAGTGAGTGCCATAGTTTTACTATGCGCTTTGTGAAGATGTACATGTACAGTCATACCTTGGGTTACAGACACTTCGGGTTGTGCAATTTCAGGTTGCGCTCCGCACCAAACCTGGAAGTACCAGAACGGGTTACTTCCAGGGTTTCGGCGCTTGCGCATGCGCAGAAGCGCTAAATCGCACTTTGCCCATGTGCAGAAGCACCAAATCGCAACCCGCACATGCACAGACGTGGCACTGCGGGTTGCGAATGTTCTTCCCGCATGGATCACGTTCGCAACCCGAGCATCCACTGTGCTTTGTTTTATTTGTCCTGAATCTTCCAACATTCTGCTTCATTGAGTGTCCACAAGTTCTCACATTAGGAGAGAGGGAGAAAAACTTTTCTTCGTCCACTTTTTCCATGCTGTGCATAATTTTACAAACTTTTACCTTGTCACCTCTTACTTATCTTTTTTCTGAACTAAAAGATCCCAAACAGTGGACAGGCAGCCATCCACCAAGCTAACTTTCATGTCAGTGAGATACACATGTTTGTTCAGCCTAGGGGTGGAAAAGAAAAAGAGAGGAATAGATGGGTTACAAAAGGGAGGCTGGATTTTCTTGTTGGTGTTTTGATGACCAGTTTGCGCATAACTGTAACCTGAGCCTCATGCAAAAAAGGCTTTCGGGAAGGAGACAGATGGTGCGCCAACATTTCTAGTAAACAAGTATTAGCCTCACATGGTCCAGACACAGGTCGGGAAATTTAAAAAAGAAACCTAAAGGGCATTTGTGCGTTTGAGATCAAGCTTGCATGGTCTTAAAAACACTTCGGGTTTTTTTAGTGTTTGGTTGTATGCTCACTGATAGGCAGAAATGAATAATGTATCCACCCGAGCATGAGCAAAGTGACATTCCTTGCATCACGGAATAAGTCATACCTATGAATGCTCTGCAACCCTCCAATGGCTGCAAGAGCTTCTGGGCCGAAGCAGCTCAAAGTGCACATTGCCAAATGGGAAAACCCACATCCCACCAATGGGTAGCTGCCAGTGGGAGCAGGAAGAAGCTTAGGGTGGTCCTTCAACACAGTTGCTTCTTGCAATCCAAAAGGATTTATTTGCTTAGCACTTTTGTACCTTGGGGCGTATGAGGTTTTGGGGAGCAGTAGTGCCTCAGGTGTTGTACATGTCATGCTCCTTCTTAGGTAGTTTGTCT